GTGCAACTGTGAAGTGGCCAAAATTACTGACAGAACTTGCTGAGAAAAGGCCATTAATCTAGTAGCGTTTTAATATGTTGGAATGACTCCATAGCACTTGGATACTAAATTGTGGAAAGTAAATATTATATAACCTAACAAATTCCACTGCTGTTGTAATAAGAATCATCACAGTAATAACCACGCGATAATATGGGTTGTGACTTTGTAAGTTTCTACACCTCAGGGTTATCCCAGGAGAGAACTTACCCCCGCAGAAACCTTTCAAACGCTTCCGATCACCATTTCAGGTGACGTAGTCGAATTAACACGTGGTCTCCGATTGAATATTACGTAGTCTACATTAAGAGTCCACCCTGCGAACTAGGTCGTGTGACTATTCACCTAATAGGTGGGACATGAAGAATGCCGAGGCAACCGTCATACGCTCGGAATGGTCCGGGTTAAACGACATTAGAGGATGGAATAATAGATGAGTAGTTAGGAAAAGGGTAAATATTCCTTGTTTGTGGTTAGTCGCACGATTGAAGAAAGTAGCAATGAGTTCATATCAGGCCTCTTACGGCAGGCGTACGCAGAATCGTCCATACAAAACAAACGCGATAAAACACGGCTGCAGCCTGGATCCTTAGAGAAGCCATACGACTGGTGGTCACTACAAAGCAGAAGTAAGGAGGACGCCTACCTGTTTCTCATTTTGTACGCTGGTAACGCAGTGTACGTGGCATCCGTAGAAGTGAAGTCTGATTCACGATCTGCCCTCCGTTCTTCAACAATAGTGAAAGGCTATAGTGGAACTCACCAATGTTCATGATAATACGAATGTCATGCAACCGAAATTCATCCACAGGGGGCAACGTGTGGGGTAATAAAAATCTCATTGCCTTTGGCTGCTTCATTATTGGCCAAGCAGCCACCGCGTTCCCCAACAACCACGCATGGCTAATGATTACGACCATTTTCGTCTTCAAAAGTTCAACAATAAGATACATCCGTATTATTAGCATAGCACGAGTTTCAAACACCAGCGAAGTGTTTTATGTTACGAGTAATTACGAACTAGAAGGAATGACGAAATTTATTATACTGTGAGCGAGGAAGAAATGACGACGAACTCGTCGTTTCCCGGGATGAGGACCCATTTACACAAAATAAAGGACAAAGGCTTCAACTCACTGGTGGTGGAAAAGCATTGCTTTATGTAAATCCCGTGAAGTCCTGCGTGGTGAGCGCGGATAAGGCGGTAAATCAGGAACGTAGGGTTTCAATAAAACTACCAGTAATTTCAATTCAGCAGATATAACCGAATTAAAGTAGATTAAGAACAACCGAATGACACCTGAAATACTAGATACTGTAGGTGACTAACAGCCACAAAAATAACTGTACAAAGGAAACACGTATCACTAGGGGGGCATTTTCATTAGCAGCACTTGATCCAGTGAAAGATGTCGCGCCTGGAGCAACAGCTGTGACATCTTGTAGGTTCATTCGATAATTCTACATTACAACATGGAAGAGTTATGAAACATCTAACTCGCAAGCACCACTGATGTCGTGGGATGTATAGCATCCGTCTTCACCGGGCATGATGTATATCTTTCGTCCAGCGTGCATAGCCCATCTTTTTCACGCCTTACTGTTACTGGCCCATATACCATACCCTTGTTTTACTTCACTCATTTCTATTCTGAGCGCTAATGAAAGCAGTACATATTAAACGTGTCATATTTGTGAATCAATAACTGTTAATGAGCCGGGATTAACGAAGCGGAAAACAAGAAAACAACGTAAACCAGTCGCTGGACTTTCAACAAAACTGTGGACGACACAACAGAGGCAGACTCACCACGCACGAAATAAATGGAACTGCAAATACGCGTTCGTTGGAGGCGCGAATTAGAACAAACATGCATAAAATGGAGATAACCGGGAACGTGTACAAATGAAAAGTTGTGTACATTATAATATGTCGTGGAAACTATTTAGCATACGTTTGACTATCAGAACGAATCCGGTAATTAACATTTCTTATTCTCATCCGATTCGCTTATTGTGTGGCCGACTGTTGGCCAGATGTTGGCCAGCACATCGGAGTCGGTCATGTGTTTGTTGTGGAGTGACGGACTTTGCTTGAGTGAAGAATAGGCTCCAATTTATAGGCATATGAGGTGTTTGGGGTATACACACAACAAATATAAAATGACATGGTGTTTGCAAAGCTCACATTAATCATTCTGCTCGAGTATCTCCGTGGCTGCTGAGATCAGATGGAACAAGTTTACTAGCACATTACACTCACTTCAAAAGGAATGTCGAAATGTTTTCCTCTTTGTCATTGGTGAAAAATTAATCGTTTGACGCGGCTGGACTAATAACCAAGGAACACTGGAGACGTTGATGCCAAATCTTACATGTTTCCCAAGTATTCGACGATTAATAAAGACACAGTAATGCTGCCTAGGTCCTATGTGATCTAGCTGCAGAGGTCTTCTTGGTAAATGAAGCGACGCAACTGAGAAGCAAACGCTGTCTATATAATGATGAACCATGCCGCCCGTAGATAGTAAAATCGTTTGTAGCGACAGAACAGATCTATGAAATTGATTAACGCCCACACAGACGACAAGTTAAACACTGTTGTTTGGAGCTATGTTCGTCTTTTTGCAGGACGCAGAGATGGGTGCGTCTGTCAAACTGTTTTCGATCAATACAGTTACTCGAAACCAAGAAGATTCAGGCAATGACGGGAGCAAGTAATGCACTCAAAGAACGTGTGCAGATGCGTCATCCAGAGGGTACCGTTTGTTCACATAATGACAGCCAAGCATCCATACGAATCATTAAAAAATATCAAACCTGTACAAGGAACGGTATAAACATGCTGTATTCGTACGCAACTCAGGATATGTCGAACCTGTGGAAATCGAAAGATTCCAAAGATTATGGTCGGAAGAGGTGCGACAGCAAGGGGAAATAACGCAAGTAGTGGAATAACCCAGCACACCATTAATCTGTCGTTATTTAAACTAGGGGATAGCGCCGTATTTTGGTGCGCTAAGCAATACGGATGTTCGATGATATAAATGACATTCCTTTTAGCTGCATGGAACATCAACACGTCGAATTTAGGACCTGTCAAGAGCGAACGTCTGAGAAGCAGCTTGGCCGATTTTGTCAACGACAAGTTCTACTTACCGTACATTAGCCATTAAAACCCCGATAGGACGAAAAACAGATTCAGTCCACTAGGGATTCCCTCGAACTAGTCAGTGACGTAGACGATTTCAACTTTGCTAATGAACCGAATGGCTATGTAGACATTCAGTCACTGTTTGCCGAGGTCCAATCTGACAGAACGACTGTTTACATTTACTAGTCCGTTAGAACCAACCACCGTGTCCTCTCTCAGGAAGACATTGTTGCTCTGCACAAAGGAAAGCGGCTTTTTTCATGTTTGGCTCTACTGTCAAATAAACGAGGTAGCCATAGGAGGTTCAGTGGGACAAATTAAAGCCCATGAAAGCCTTCAGTGTTGCCTAAGACTGTGAACAAACGCGTTTCTGCTCCTCCAGAGGATCGAACACCGCGCGTGCAGAAAATTACATTTTGTCCAGATAAAGATAACAGCAGACGCGACTACAAAAATACCGACTATTAACGTAGTTACTCTCCCCTTTTTCTAAGTAATGCACTTTTTCCTTTATGCTGTAGTGAGATAACTTTCGACGTCCCTAAAATGTGAAACTCCCTGCGACATGAGAGGTGCCTCGCCAGTACCACCGCGTCGGTTCACATTACCCAGTGAATGTAAATTTACTACAACCCACTAACATCAAGGTTAGTGGGTTGGCGTACATATCGCAATTTTGCTCATAGCTGTATAAGAAATCCACACCATCTCCACCATTGTAGGCTACAATCACTAGGACAACAGTGTTTTAGCTACTATCGTTGGGAACGCCGCCCAATCAGACTGACACTTGTTTGAATCCTGAAGGTCAGCGGGAATTTCCGTTGACATTCGTCCTCTTTGGCGGCTGCCGCGCGGTTGTGCTGAAGGTTCTCTCATGTCCATTTCCCTAGCGCCCTTACTCGTTACGTTGAAGTCCGCTTGTGTACGGTGAGTGAACAAATAAATAAAGTTTGTTTGCGGATTCACCGTTTTCTCACTGAGACTTCCGATCCGTGTTAATATAAGGCTGTGGAGACCCTGGATGTGCGAACCTCGGAACTAGCATCGCGAAAATGCTTCAAATTCCCTCACTGCGCCCATATTGCCCTTGCTTTTGATTTACTAGTGCACTGACTGCCTGTATTCAACTCACCTCACTTTTGGTCGATTAATATCCGCATGAATTTTGAACCAACCGCTTATCTACCTACTGTCAGTCCGCTCGTTACCCCTTACTACTAGTCACATTTGCATGTGCCCTCAACTAATTCAGATGATCAGGTGTCAAGCAGGTCCCAGAAACCTGACTGATTAGGTAAACTGTACTATTTTGTGTGCACGCACCCAATGGTTTATCCAGTTACTTGTCAGTTCGTATATGTAACTGACGAGGACGAACGAGATGTACCTCAAGCAAGCCTTCCGTATGGCAGTATTGGCATAGTTTACCAAACGTGAAAGGTCCAGTGGAGAAAAAGCGTATGCGAACGTGGTCGCACTAGGAAATTAACATGGCGGTAGCCAAGCAGGATTGATGCGTTAATGGTAGTTGGTATCAGATCGGAGTGTGGCGCCAATTTGGAAGACACTGACATTTTAGTCCACGTGAAAGGATAAAATAATCGGTGCACACCAACCTAAGATACACGAGTTCACAACGTTCGTTTTGTTGCCTTTAAATATGCGGCACAAAATTGAATTTTCACCCTGACTACTGTAGAGTAAAGCAGTAGTGCACATAGTTGAACAAAAGTATCCGGAAGCGTTTTAGTCAGAAGTACCCTGGCGGATATGACAATTTATGAGATGCGGTTGCGAAACATCTGGGCTTCGACCGAATTCGAATCGGCGACAAATGCAACGTGCCCAAACATTACCGGCGCCCTACTAGCTGAGCTACGAAGCCACACTGACGGTCCAGATTTCTGCCCCTTGGATTCAGTTATCTGTCCAACAACTGATTATAAGTAATGCAATTTCAATACTCAACAGTAGCGTTGGTGGATCCCAGCATGCGCTGTCCAAAACCTCTTGCTTGGATAGTCAACCCACTGGAGCATTCGGCTGGCTGTATATGACACAGTGGGGTGGGCGCACAAGTCCACATGTAAAAGTCCCGACGTGCCTTCGCACCTCACCAAGCGAAACAACAGTCGTGTCTGGGCATGCTGCTTTTGACGTTGGGTCGAATCCAACTGAACCACAGAATTTTTGGAATTGTCTCATCTCAATTTTCGGGTTGTTGGGGAATGGGCAAGACTTGAAGGTAACCAGGATTGGAGTATATTCAAACTTTTGGCGGTAATAAGGAAGGACTGTTCAGGCGACCAACTGTCACCAAAAGGAAAATGTTAACCACACTTTAAGCTATGGCCTCCAGTTACAGGACTCCCACCATCCCGATCGAAATCACTACTTTCCTTCGGGCGACCAATAATTGACGAACAAACCAGAACGACGATAAAAACTGAGAATAAGCACCCCGTAAGCAAACTGCATGCACATGTTTCGGTCTGAACACCACAAAACGCTCTGTCTCATTAGATAGATTAGTTTGCGGCAGCACTTAAAATATTCAAATTAGGAAAGCAACAATCTGAATAAACCATGTGTAGGCTAATCTACATCGTCAGTAGCGAGCTCCAAAAATACATAAAGGAAAGGCAAACACATACCAATCGACAACCTCGACGTACATTCAACAATCACAACGCAGTGAACAAAACGTCCGACATCGCAACAGACCAACTAGACTGAGTAACTGACCACGCGAGAATTTTACACTGATCTGCAATGCGTCGGATGACACGGTGAGCGGATCACTCAATGTCAACGCATCTTTACGTAGCATGCTAGGATGGATGCAGACTAGCCCTTGACATAAGTGTGACAAGGAAGTGTACAGTGGGCACGTCAAATTTGTCATAGCCAACAAACATCGCTCCTGCTGCGGTAAATATTTCAGATCGTTTTATCTGCACAAAATATCGCATGTTATCAGTAAGACATACTTGTTGTGAAGAGTTGCGTCTTTTCACATTTTTCATGACGTACAAAATTTCCACGTAGATAAGAGCGTTGCTCACAACTGTGACGTCCAAAACATTCACGACAAACTTCATCATCATAACAGCCATGAGCGTGACAAAAAGGTACTGTGGGTCGGGCCGCCGCTCACCTCAACAGTGACATGGAATATCCTAGAAGGAAACGTCGCTAAGAAGGTTGAACATTATTAAAAGAAGACTAAGCGGAAGAACTAGGAATGGTATGGATACAGGTACGCTAGTAACTCCGACACATCGCCATCTCGGATAGCGTCTCTAAAAAGCGGCTTGAGTGATTGCGAGGACCCCATCCAGGCAGGCGACACCTACCCACTTCGCTCAATGGAGCAGTCAAGGTCTTCACATTTCGTGACCACAAACTTAAACAGCAGCTTGTATAAATCCAGTATCTGAAGCAGCTTCATCATTTCCACACTTGCTGGACCGATACGTTGCAAGTAAATATCAAAATAGTGCGAATTATTGTCGTAAGGACAGCAACTGGACCGTCTACATGTCAACGAGACGCAGAATCTCATGACGGAAAATGTGGACTCCACTACAAACCGAGATGCATTGAACAAACAACACACGACTATGCGCTGTAAATTAGGAGGCATTTGTGGAACTGTTTGGCTTTAGCACCGCTTCACACTATTCAAATCAATAATCTGCACACACCTTCAAACAAGCGTACAGGCTTGACGCTAATACCACGGAATGGCACGATATTACGTAGAACCGTCCAAAAACGAATAGCTAAGAGAGGTATTGGATTCAGAATAATCCATTACCTAGAGGTTGTCAGCAGTCGACCAGTTCTCGGTATTACAGAAACGCGAGAGGTCTAGTTCCTAACACTCTAAGTAAAATGCCACTAGATCTCCTGCTAAACAGGAATGAAAGCCCAAGGGGTCACTCACTGATGTCAAGAAGTCGAATGGATGGGTAGAATGTTTATTCACGCACAGACCGTTGACTTTTGAATTTGGTGACAGCATTAAAGTTCATACTGATTACCATCAAAACCTATTGTCGTATGTGCTTACGTCTGTCAGCATGGTGTTCCAATAAACTGCGTTACCAAATCTACATGAATTGCTTTCTTGGCATTTCTTTCACTTAGTCCAAACATCTAATCTTCCACCGACACAGAGAACATCTTACTTTCTCACATATAAACTGGTCCGGTTCATATGAGAAGTTTGGAATTAAATTGTATAAATGACTAGAGCGGCTGCGAACTTGATTCACAATACATCCGCATAACAGGTCTAACAACTTACGTCCAAATCACAACACAAACGAAAGGGAGGATTCCAACATCTTAGTGGACCCACGCCGTAAGCTCTGGGATTCTGGCGTGGTTTTGTAGCTCAACTGGTAGAGCGTTTTGGTATGTTGTTTCTGTCGCTGATTCGAATCTAACCGGAGTCAAAATTTTTCGCAAATGGGTCTCTCCCAACTTATTAAATCTGTCAAACTACTTATCACCAAATAAGAATGATTAGACCACAGTTAAGCAAGTCTGTTCAAGTTAACCGTTTACATCAAATAAGACTTCCAGTTTTTGGACAAGAGGATCATACACATACACACGTCCGGCCACCGTAATGAATTAGGTCTACATAGACTAGGCATTGGTTTATGGACGGGAAGCAGAATTAGCAGAGCAAATTCACATTCTCATGGGACTCAAACACACTTGGACGTGTCACAACAATTAAGGTCCACAAAAATTCACCTAGAAGAAGTCAAACACAAGACACGTCAATGGCTTCAAGGATCTAGTGTAGCCAATACGATCAGTGAAATGTCGGAGCATAACTGATGATGCAAAAGTCGTAGACTCTCAAAGCAAGTTTGCAATGTCTACTATGGACCATGTCAGACTAGTTGGGGATGCCAGAGTGACCAGGATGGATGAAGAGTACGCGAGAGTTTTGACAAAAAGAAACTAACAACTGTATGCGAAGCTAGTGCATGTCGTATACGAATGGGGGACGGAAAAGGGTAACTGAGATCAATACAGAAAGCTTGAAAACCAATAAGCAAAATGGCTCCACTTACTACCTCGCCAAAATCAGAGTGAAAAACGATAGAAGAGGTAAGTCAGGAAGACTGCTGACAGAGAGATTCCTTCAAATTGACATTCTGAAGAAATGTTAAAAGAGCCATCATTTGAAGAAAGATCACTGACTAAGTTTCATTAATATAAATCAGATCACTCTGAGCTGAAACACAAATAAGGAACCAGAACAAAGCCTTGATGCACAGAAAAACTTAGAGAATGTGCGTATGTGTACAAAAAAAAGGAGACCGAAGTAACCCGAAGGCGCCGACGAGAGTGGACAAAGGCACAAAGAGCAGTTGCATAAACAGAAGCAAACGTGGCAAGCTTGCGCGAGGCAGGCGGTAAGGGAGCAAATAAACGGAAAGAATATATGCGGACTGTTACATAAGGGCCAGTGTTGAGGGGAGGGGTGAAGGAAGAAACGGACCGAAAGGGAAGACACCTTCGCATAGTGAGGAATAGCAGGACGGTGATCGAACATCACTGGGAGTAGCTGAAACAGGACTGTAAACATAGTTGAATAGGTACAATTTGAGGCGCAAAACGCAAAAGGTAACACCGAGTTTGAAAGGACAAAGCACAACATTGAGCGCTGGAAGGTTAAGAAACGAAAACCGGAGCAGGTACAAGATTCGACATTAAAGCTCAGCTCAAAGACGTTGATAAGCCTGGCAACCAACAGAATGACTGCACGGTAAAAAAAAAACTCGGAGAATCAAACGTACATGAACGTAAAATGACTGATTGTCAACTTGTTATTCATGAGTCGCTAACAGCGACCAACGGATAAGGTCTACCCAATCATGAGCAAAATATTCGTCTTCAAGTTAAAGCCTATAAACCTGATTAAACGTCTTTAAGAATAGCGTGGTTGTATACCAACAGCCTGACCCGGAGGAAGATAGGAGGACGGATGCATTGCGTTAGCCGAATTTAATATCCTTTTGCCTTCCAAACGACCCGGATGAACAAACGGTTGAATTAAATAGTGTTTTTCCTGATCATTTTTAAAAATCGGATGGCTGCGGTAGTGTTCGATCAGTTCTTCGACACTGGAGAAAACTTTCTGACCTATGTGATATTGGCCACGTTCCACGTGGACTTTAAAATTTCGAGTTTTGCTACCAGCGTTGATTGTAATGGTCCAATCACCAGGCTGCCAACAAAACACAGAAGCATAAACAATATTTAGAATGACCTCCAAAGTTATAAAAACAAGTGCAAGTAAAATTGAGATCAAACAATATCCAGAAGATAAAATTTTGGTGATACAAGGGATTTGGCTATATAAAAACAAGTCAGCATACTGTTTATCGACCAGTTTGCAAGTATAGAAAAAATTCAAGGTAAGCTAACGCTAATCTTACCCATTAACAATACTGACTGAACAGCAATAACGGTTAATTTTAGGTCACTCGGAAATGCACAAGACTGAAAAATTGTTGGATTATTATGACGCCAGCTGCATGACGTACATTCTACAAAGACTAGTTACGTCCACAAGTGAGACATATGCCTCCACGACGAAAGTGATAAACACGGTACAGATTCCGAAAAAATGACAGGAGGAACCAAAAGCTGCCAAACGAATTCATAGGTAGGGTATTAAGAACGACACGACCTTCCACGAACGTTAATCGCAGACAGAGTAATCGTAGAACAGACGATTCATGGTTAACAAATGCAGAAAATGGAAGTGGTGTTGTCTTGAAAAGACTCATGTCACACATGGGGAATATTCACACTAAAAATTTCGTCTGCAACTAATGGCACATAAAACAATCC